GGGCTGAAGCTGGTATTAGTACTGCAAAAACGCGCGCAAAAAGTGCTCGCACGGGACTTCTGAAGCTAGAAAAGGCTAGTATCGCGCGCTGAAAGTCTTGCTAAGCAACAGCTGACTTCTCGAGACTTAGGTATTCTAAGCAACCTCGTGTCAGGTAACGGCATGATGTATGCCTAAATATCACATCAGACTAAATATCAGAAATAATAATTAAACTACATCGGTCTGATGATCGGCAGACGCAAATTTTTTATAATATATATATACTGTACGAAGTACAAACTATTAGGGAGTTTTAGCAAGAGTACGACTCCGACTACGAGTACGAAATTTGACCGTGTAAGAGAATGGCACGAGGAAGGTTGTTGTCGTTATCGCTTCGTCAAAATTAAGTTTTAGCTGTAAACAACAGAACGAGCCTTTTTATTGTGTAAAACACCGACGTTTGCGAAGAAGCTACGGCTCTATTTGTCAATAATGATATCAAAGAATCGATAATACTGGTTTTGCAAGAATATAGGACTCTTTAGACTGAAAAATCTTCACTATTTTAAGTTTTATGTACGATATATTTGTACTATTTTATTGCTTGTTTACCTTTCACTTTGCGTACGAAATACATGAAAGTTTTGCAGGTCATATTTTCCTTTTTAATGTACATCTGCGCTAAAAAAAAGGTTCTAAATTAAACCCTGGATGCTCGAAAATAGGACTGTAAGCTAATTTCTTACAGAATGAAAAAATATATCTACTTTCTTTGCTTAAAAAGACATCGTAGTCGCGACTACGAATTTTTTACAAAACATCGTACTCAGATTGATGACGGCTACGTGTTTTTGTTGTCGCAACAATGTTTTCGCGCCAGAATGACGTAAATCGTACTCGTAGTCGTACTCGTAGTCTTTGCTAAAACTCCCTATTATAGCAATGACTACGGACATGATATTCCCAGCACTTCGACTCTTTGACGAGCCCATCGTTGACCGCTCTGTTGAGCGTCTGCAGTACGAAAGAGTTCTTCCCCGCGATCCAAATTTCGATAATAAGAATATAAATATCGACACTGAGAATGTTGACTAGCTTATATGGCTTCAAAGAGCCCTTCTTGAAGTTCGAGGTCGCGTGGTAAAGAACGATGGCACCAATTATGATGCCGCCGACAACGTCGCGCTGGCAAATGGTGGCTAGAGCCTGTTTGAGACGGTCCAGATCCAGGTTAACAACAAGAACGTTGAAGAAATAAGTCAGTATGCCTCAACTGTCAACACGATCATGCAGCTTGTAACTGATTCGGATGATTCGTCCAGGAGCACCGCCACGAGTGCTTTCTGGTACCGCGACACTGGAGCTACCGGTGGGGCTGTTTCTAATAAGCATGTAAGCAGAACTAACGCTCAGTTGCTTCCTGCTGCTAATGTAGGTAATGGTGTCGCTTTGAATGGCGGCAACTTCCGGGCTAACTTTAACTTAAACCTCAACGCAACAGAGAACCCTAACTTCAACATTGGTTTCGCCAGTCGCCGCCAGCTCTGCGCGGGTGCCAAAGACGTTACCATGATGCTTCCCCTCGCTGACATCCTAGGCTTCGCCAAAGACATTTATTCAGCTTTCATAGGTATAAAGTTCAATCTGAATCTCACTCGCGCTTCTACTGAAAACTCGCTTCATAGAGCAAATGGGGTAGATGCTGGAAAATTTCAGATAAAACATCTTTCTTTCTGGGTTCCTTTCATCAGACCTTCGATCGAAGTTCAAACCATGACAGAAAGCAAGTTGGTTGCTGTTTACACACGCATGCTATACTTTGAGCAAGGTCGTTTTTACCGAGAGAGATTCACCAGAGGTCAAACCAACGTCTCATTGCGTGTGACGCAAACGGAAGTGAAGAGCTACCAAACACACATCTTCGTAGCGTTCCAAGATGCAGAGCGCTCAAACAATTAAGAGCAAACTATACATGTGTTTGATAATGCTAATTTGCGTCAGATTCATGTGCGGATTAGTAACAATCACAAGTAACCTGAAAAAGAGCTTGAAGTCAATTACACAGATGCTGAGAGAAATTACAGCAGAGCTTACATGATGTTCCAAGACGCTGCGATGAAATACAGCGACCCGGTTACAGGCTCTCAAGTAAACTTAGGAGACTTTGCAAACCTCTTTCCTATTTACCACTTTGACGTTAGTCATCACCCTGAAGCTTTGAAAGAGCCCCGGCAAACATTGATGTTCGTTGGATCTTAGGTGGCCCTTTCAATAGTGCTATTAATGCTGGTGGTGAACAGGCGTACCACGGGTACTGCTTCGTGCTTAGCGAGCGTTTCCTTCGGCTCAATGCGATTAACGGTAGAATGGACATAATGGTTTAGTCTGTCTGATGTGATGATTAGTCTGATGTGATATGCTACGATTAATCCGATTACTTCGCACCAATCAATAAATTAAAATTAACAAAAATTGCTTCGACTGTTTATATACGCAAATTGTTTTGCATGTGCACAAAAATGTCGGACATTGATAACGCAATATTTGTTAAAGCTCTCAGACCCGCCATGGAGCGAGTAATCACTCAGGAGTTTAAAGGCGCTGGTATTTATCTTCCTGGGTCAAGAAGTATAGAAGGTGGTAGCTTTATTGGAAATCTTGTTGGAAAACTGATACCTACGGTCACTTAACTCATACCAAAAGTGTTACCGTCTCTAGGCCTAACAGCTATATCAGGTGCTACCATCGGCAGAACGCAAAAAGCAGTAGCTGGTAGTTGTATAGTTAGAAGAAGAGGTATCACACCATTTAATGGACCTCAGTATAAAAACAGTCTTCTTGGTTTCGGTAGTAGCTCTGGTAAGAAAGATCGTTCTGGATACATAGTTCACGGTGTTAAAATTTCAAAAGATCAGAAAACTACCTTGACAAAAGCAGTTAGAGACAAAAGTGGAGTAACTTTGCGAATTACCAATCGCGAATTACCGACATGGGACCGGCACCGGCTAGCCACGCTGGATTTGTTGCAGATGCACTCTACAATACTTCCCCATACATGACTTTCTACACGGTTCTCTAGTGTGGATCTTAACCCACTCGCACTTGTTCTTGCCCAGGCTCATAGCTGTACAACGTTTGGATATACGTTGTGAGTTTGGATATACGCTGGAATCGTCTTTCTTCAAATGACTGACGGCCGACGGTGGGCAGCGCCTTAGCCCCGACGGCCTGCACGCAAGCGCGGGGGGTGGGCCGGCCGTATTTGGCTCCTGCCGTTGTCCAGGGTTTGCCCTTCGCTGTAATTATGCTTGCATAATTACAAAAAGTACGTACGCGAACTAGGTTTGGGCGCTTAGATTTGGGTATAATAGGTCTCAAGGTGTGAAGTGTGCTAGCGGCAATGCTTTCTCAAGGTGAGGTGTGCTAGCGGCAACGCTTTATATACTACTGTTATGCTTTACTTCTTTATATTTTTAAATGACAGTTATGCCCCTTCTTTTTTGACTACCCCCTCCCAAGACAGAAAATCCAGGCCACGCCACTGCCAGCCACAAAAATAGCGACGTCGGTAGGACAATGAAGTTATGGAGGACATACTTGGCGAAAAGGTTTCTGGAACGAACAAAAAGCGAGTGAAATTTTAACTTGCTGTAACTTTTTTAAGTTAGCCTCTGCAGTGAGACAGAAAACGATTCAAACATTAGTTCACTCAAAAGTCTAATTAATGAACTTAGACGTGTAACACTAATTGTTTTTTTCTTTGTTTGTCGCACAGTTCGCCTACATTGTAATATGTTATATAAGCTCTTGTATTTAGAGCATCTGAGAAATATCAAAATGCTTTGACGGATATCCAGAGGGCAAAAGAGACAATTTTTCCCGGTTTGCGCCTTAGAGAGTTGCTAAAATATAAAAAATTGGAGGAGGCAAGCTATTTTTCACAATTCAGTTTGACGTTAGTTATGATTTGTAAAGCCAAACTTAAGCATGGGTGAAAACTGATAATTTAGCAGGAGCTTCAGAGAGGGGGTGGTCTAAAGCTCCTTAGTTTTCTTTAATGAGGATAGTTACAACTTATATTACATAGGTTTTAACAAATGCATGTTGGTAGAAAATAAAACGAACTTACTTCTTGAGGAGGGAGTAAACTTTTTGTTGTGGAATATGAATAAAAAACTCAATAAAAGATGTTTTGCAAATGTCACCATGCGTGCTATTGTAGCGTCATGATTTTAAAATAATATAATTGCATAGCATTTTTATTTTTCGCTAATTTTTTGTTTATAAATATGTCGATAATTACATACACATAATTTTACTATATTTTTTCATAACGATGATTTCTCGTACGCAAAACAAAGTGTTTAGCCATTATGTTAATAACAATTTAGTATTTTTTAGTATTTTAGATAATAGTTCTATTTTACCATTATTGTATTTATTCGTTACTGTTATTGCTGTACACTCCAACATATCTTAGCTTAATAGCTATACAGTACATGAAATAAACTATAACCAATTACCATTACCATTACATTAATTATTCAACTACAATTTGGTCTCAACACCTGAGCTCCTTGCAATAAGCAAAGACTAGATGGAGGTTAGTGAAATTCAAGAAAAATACTCGTCCAGCAATTTCACCAACCATCCATCTAAACTTCTGTCGTCACATCTGAGCTCGTTACAGATGTTTGGAATTCCAAAAATTTGTAATCCAGATCTTGTTCCTTTTTATCATAACTTGCTGCAATTCGTCTAGAATTTCATATATCGTCCATTCAGATTTTTTTCTTTTTTAACTCGTTGCAATTGGTACAGAATTTCACTAACTATCCATATAGCTGAGTTAGTCGTTACATCATGAAAATCTTTCAAAGTCATTACATTTACGAAGAGATTTTGCGTCATCCATTTCATCACATGACTCCACAAAAAAATATGTCATTCTTCAGTGAGTGTTAACATTAAACAATTAACCTTGATCTCGAACAAAACATTCTCAAACAAATAAATATAATCGAAACTTGCTTATAATTTTAGAAATTGTTCAGTCAATTATCATCTTAAGAAAAAGAGTATCATCTTTAATATACTGACGATTTTTCAAACTTTCCAATGGCATGAAGAGTGGCGATCCAGAAGCAATATTCATATCTGACTTTGGTCGCTGAAATGAGGAACTTTGAGGATCTGAATGAAAAGCATCAATCATGTGATCTCCATTTCCTTGATCCATTAACATCATTGTGATTTTCTTTTGAAATGGCCATGTTTGTAGTGCATCGTAATCACCTAAGAATAATTACAGAACTATTAAAAAAAATAAACAAACAAAAATTAATAAAACAAATTGTTCTCCTATATAAAGTTTATTCAGAAGGCATTTTGAACATTAAACGGACAAAAAAGTTTGCACTCGATTTCCTATCAATTACCGAAGTATACATGATAACATGAAGTATAAGATTTAGGCAGAAAATAGACAACACAGTCACACAAACTTATCTCGTAAGAAGCAATACGCTATTTTATAGATATTTATTATCTAATGAGAATACGTGCAGACCAATGTCATTTTTGCATAATAAATCACTCGAAGTAAGTTATATTGGTTAAGTAACATTAGAAGCTAGTTGTCTATTATTACCCAGGATTTATGCTACGCAAAAATGGATGTTTTCTTTCCTAAAGGAATCAAAAATATCCATTTGGTGGACAGATTGTCAAGATATATAAGAACGAGTAAACGATTGGTTCTTTCATTTGTGTGCATTATTATGTATAGATCATTAAAAATTTGTTTTGCAAGAATTTCACGATTCCTGTAGGTATGTTTTTACGTCAAATAAATCTGCAAAGTCTAACGATAAATATACCATCACACGACAAAAATAAAAGAAATGGCAATGACTTTAAGGAACAATTTCTCCTGTGCGCCTGCAAACCACGATCACCCCTACATTATACAAAGAGCTGGGCTAAGAGGCCAGTGCAATCTGTAAAACTGGAGCATATTTCTTTGAAAGTCGAAAAACTAAAGGGTAAAAGTGGAAACAAACGTCTAATTATATGGAAACAAACGATAATCACAGAAAAAATAGCTACACCAACTGACCGAGATAATTTTAAGAAAATGGAATCTTATGAAATGAATTTGAAACAAACGACATATAGAAATGATAACTTAGACATTCATCTTAAGTCGTCGTTTGCCAGCTCAAGCGAATTTTTTGACGAAATTTTTTGAAATTATCAACAAACGTTGAAAATCTTTCGCGGTACCAAATGTCTGTACCGTTCAAAACAACAAAAAACAAGGATAAATGAGTTCCCTTTCCAAAACCATCACCATTCATAAAGATCTTAGCACACATCTTGTAACCATATTGAGAACTGTAGAATGGTGGACTGTACAAGGCTGTTTCGATACCATTAATGGCGTCCTGTCTCTTCTTCTTGAAGTTATCAATTTTCCAGAGTAGCGTACCATTGTAGCTGTGTACAGCCTCATTTGACCCTAGTGCACTAGGTCGAATCAGGCTATACATAGCTACAATGCCCACAAATCCGATATTGGAAAATGAGACGCGAGATTGAAATTAATGTTTACTAATAAACATTGCGAAAATGGTCGTTGATAAAAAAATTGTCTTGCACGTGTAGCCATTACCTTTGTTTGATAATTTTGAAAAATTGCATCGAAAAACTTGCTCGTGTATTTTAAATTTAAGATTTAAATGCCATAACATCTCATTACTTCCATTGATGCAAAATCAGTCACTAGACAAACCACTTATTTTTGAATAATTTTTAGAAAGAGAAACATAAACATCTTCATAAGAATTCCCGGTAAACATACGTCATTTTTATCTGGTGCATGTGACAAAAATTGAGCTAAATATATAACTGGACTGCTACCTTGCAAGCCTGTACAATGCACGAAGCCACAATTTACCCTCAGGAACACGTGTCTGGGGGCAAATTCCGCATTTTAGCTTATCGTCGTCCATGAGCTTTCTTTACGCCGTGCGTGGAAAGATTGGCACTAGTTAAATCGCAATGGCTACAAAGTTTTTTGCTGGTCATATTCAGTTAAATGGTCACAAATCAGAAGCCATTTTTGTCATACAACTTACTTCGGTTCAATCAAAGAACCCTGGATACTAAGGGATTCAAAAATCGTTTTAAAATAAGCAAATACCATAGTGAATGGTCAAAATGATAACATAATAGTTCTTAAAAGAACTGTTTAAAGCCAGAACATTAACTCAATAAAAAGTAAGATCCTAATTGGATCTAATAGTTCTTAAGAACTATTATGTTATAATTTTGAACATTCATCATTGTATTTGCTCTTTTTAAACGATTTTTAAATTTGTCACCAGAACAAAATCTTTATTTAACTAACTATGGGATTCCGAAAGAGAAAATAAAAAGCCTAGTTGTATGCTAAGAGCAAAATATAATCAAGAAATGAACGCTCCAGAAATAAAATCATAATATTTATACGTAAAATAAAGCACAAAATTTTTCTTCAATAATGTAATAATTCGAAAGTTGCCGACTATTTCTTAAAAATTGCATGATAAATTTGAGCGTAACATTTATTTAAATTTTGAATGTGTACCATACATATCAACGAGCGCATGACACAGTTGTAACAGATGAAAAAGCCGGCAATTTTTAATAGTTAAAACAGTAGGAGATATGCAAAATGTCAGTACCTTTCATGACAACAAAGAACAAAGATAAATGAGTTCCTTTTCCAAAACCATCACCATTCATATAGATCTTAGCACACATCTTGTAACCATATTGAGAACTGTAAAATGGTGGACTGTACAAGGCTGTTTTTATACCATTAATGGCGTCCTGTCTCTTTCGATTGAAGTTATCTATTTTCCACAGTAACGTACCATTGTAGCTGTGTATAGCCTGATTCGACCCCAGTGCACGCGCACCACGTTGGCCCTCCAGGTCCGTAATGTTTATCGTGTTTCTCGCAAGTGATTCGTCAATTTGATCTAAACGTTCACGAAATCGTAGTATAGTTGAAGAATTATCTCTCACTTGTCGTTCTAGAGTCGCAATCCTATCACGCATCGAGGAAACTTCTAATGACGAATGGACATTGTTACTATCGTTACCACCACGAACCTCAAGACTCTCAATTCTCCTTTCAAGACCTGTAAGTTTACCTACTAACATCACAAATTTTTCTGAGAGATTTGCACGAACAGCAGTAACTTGGTCAGCCATGTTTTGAACAGCAGTAGTAAACTCTGGACGTGGTACATAGTTACTTAACTGTGTAAAAAATGCCATAACATATCGTAATAGAAGGCTCACATGATCAATTAAATTGTCATTCATATGTTGACGGATCTCCTTTCGTTTTAAAGTCTGTAAAAAAAAAAATACCAACACGTTCGTTAAACGAAAACTACAAGTTTGCCACAATTTACTCGTTGTTTCAATCTAGTGACGCAGCCAGGAGATTCTGTTAGGGTGGCAGACAAAAGGGTAGGGAGGGGCGTAACTATGATTTAAACAATATAATATATGTAAAACATAACATTTTTGGCGGCCTGCCTCCCTCTAGCTACGTCATTGTTTCAATCTGAACATAATTAAGACATTCGGGACGATTGATAAATGTTCCCTTAAGGCAATAAAATCATCAAAGTAGCACGAATATTCCCAAGGCGGTAAGACCTGTTTCAATGGACAAAACAAACTACTTCTCAGGCTTCAATGGGTCGAACCTCTTATAATCGAATGACATTATATATTGCATACTAAAGGGAAAGTTGGAAAGCTGACATCTCAGAAAAAATGAAATTAATTCAAAATCTCTGCAATGAAATTTTAGTTAATGATTTGGGAATACGGTGTAAAACATTAAAATGAAAATCATAAAAATCCAGGTTTTAAAATCCCATTGTATCAATGACCATGAATGTTTAGAAATTTCGGGCTCTTCAGAATCTGTTTCGCTCAAAACTGAAAATGTAAACAAATCGTTAATTGCTCCAAATTATATTATTTTTCGCGCTTGTTACCAAACCATGTGAAATATCTTCATTTCCAAATATACACAGTTACACTATGAGAAATATGCCAATACTTGCTTGCGTTTTGACTTAATGTCGTAATAAACTTTTTTCATGGTCATTTAAGGGAAGATTGGGAGTAGCTCAATAACTTGCTTAAAACTTTAGAGAGAGGTAGCTAGTGGAACAAAGTTAAGTACCAACATTAATCAACCCGCTTATTCCAACATCTATATGTTGTAGCTGATGTTGTTGGTTGCATATCGAAACATGTTTTCATAGAAAAAACTTAATTGTAAATACCATTACCATAAATTATCACCTTATCAATCCAATACCTTAGTGATAATTGAATTTATGTAATCAAAACAAGATATCATTAAACTTTTCCTACATATACACCATGTCAATTACTTTATACGGAAATTTTGTTTAACTTTGAGATTTCCAAGTTAGTTTTTTCATTACTGGCACAAATTGTAAAACAGTTCAAATCGTCTTACTTTCTTATAGTTACATCCAAAAGCTTGAAATTCACATTTAGTCGGCATTTCATCACAAGTCGTACTTTCATCGTTTTTAATATCTTTCCTTGGTATCTTTTTCTCGCAATATTTACAAAGAACTGGTGCATTTCCACACACCTTTTCTATGTGGTCCTACAAGTTAAATGAAAATACAAAACAAAAATATTTAGATTAATTTCCCAAAAGATGAAAAAAGGAGTTTGTCCCATTTGATATGCTAAAACAAGATCGGTGAAGGCAAATTTTATACATGTAGATGTTTTTGAGAAGGCTCAAATTTTGTTTGGTTTTACATAATAAAAATTCGGTATAAAAATTTTGTCTCGTATTTTTTGTGTATATTACCATGTACTTCAGGCTTATTCTTCGCTACCCCCCTCCCCTCCCCTCTGTGTTTCTTTGATCCGGGGGAGAACATTCAGCCTACCTTAAGTGAAGCATATGGGACGTCTTTATCACAATATTCACATTTCACATTTCGATATTCACATTTATTCTTTAAATGTTCGTCAAGGAGAGAGCGAGGTAACTGAATGTTACATTGTTTATGTAACAGCTGATGAGCGCATGCTCACAAACTTGAGAATGACCCTGACGAAAAAGGAAGCTTTTGTTAATAATATGGATACAATTTTTGATAACTTTGATATCTTGGTGCAACTCACTTCCAATTCTTCATATTTACCAAACCATTCGCACTGTTCAGAAGGACAATGTAAACGAATCAATTTCAACTCACGCTTCGTAAAAGCATCGGTGAAAACCTGTGCAAGTTTCAAAAAGATTACAGGTTGCAAAAGGTTGTTACATTTGCAAACTATAGATCGGTTAATGAAGTAGATGTTGATGATAGATTTTTTAGTAATGGCCGAAAACAAAGTGAAGTTTTTTTTGGCAGAATCTCAAATAAAACTATAGAATATTTTCACCTACTTCATTTCTGCTCAATTTTTCTTGATCCTCCGGACATTTTGGATCAGAACTTCTATAAATTAAATGAGTATGAACACTTTTGATAAATAAAATGATGTAAAACAAAGGACGTTTAAAGACAGCCAAATCACAAATTTTTCAGGTTTTATTATTTTTCGGGGATAGGCAGCTGTAACAAAATTACAATGACAAACATCAATTTAAAAAATCAAAAATTCTCGTCTTGCATCGTAACTTCTATTTCGACATCATAATACGATGTACAACAAGTGAGCTTCACAAAGTTTGGGAAGAATTTATTTAAATCTATAAAATGCAAATAGTGATCTAAAAATAATCGTATGTAATATTCCAAATACATCTGCTATTCAAGTTTACGTACATCAAACATGTATCTTAGGGGCTGTTTTTCATGATCTCGGGTACTAGGATTACCCTACTGGCCGAGACAAGGTTACATATGTAGCGTTTACAGGAGAGATTATTGTAAACTGCACGCGCTTTTTCAACTCGTTCCCAGTTCACTTTACATTTATCAAAATCCAACATGGATGTGTTTATGTCATTGAGCTATCATACATGGATTAAAGCTTAATTTTACACCCAGACATGCGTGTGCATTCAATAAAATTTCACTCCTCGAGAGAATCTTGAAACACCACCCACGCGTGTGTGGGTGTATTATTTGGCTTTAACTATTTGCTTCAGGTAGCGTTCCATGTACTTTAGTTCAGTGGCTTATGTTCCATAATTTAACTTTGCGTATGCGTTATGGAAAACTCGTCCTTCTTACCAGGACTAAAGTGTTTTTATGTCTCACTGAATAGGGACACCCTCTTTCCTAAATAATGTAACCATAGTAGTAGAGTTACCCTGTTCGAAAGAATGGCTTATGTAAACGCTCGTTACTAATCTATTATGTAAATTATAGTAACTTAGCCTTCATAGGGTGTCTCAGGCGGGAGGGTAACCCTAGTACTCGAGACCTTATTTATGGCTTTTATACACATTTTTAATCAAATTTCGCCAACGATTTTGCGGAACATAAAACGTATAAACCTTCCATTTGTAAGGACAACAATTTCCGCGTTTAGATGGCCTAGCGTTTTGCATATTTTATATGGAATTCACAGCGCACAATACATAAAAAATGGTGACAATATAACAAGATTCGTGTACCAACACTTACGCAGGACAATTTTAACGCGAGATTGCTTTTGAATACCTTCCAAAATTATGATATTCAATTAGGAAAACATATGATAACATTAGCACACACAATATGAAGCATCTCATCTTGCAGTAGTTTATTGTGTATTCAATTTACAATTCGAACCAGTAACAAACTTCCAATTGAAAGTCACAAACAAATTTCCTTACCCTAGAAGAATGTCGATACAAGATTGACAAGTTATGTGATACAACATTGGGATATGTGATAAAACATAGGCATAGGTAACACCCACTGCTTTGAGATATGTGATATTACAATACGTAATATTGTGATTATAACATTCTAGCAATACCTGTTGTCAACTGATCAAGAATTCTACCGTGAATTATCGAATAAACGCCCGGGATGGTAAATAAAGAAAAGGGGCGAATCTTGAACGTTAAATAAGGAGAAAATATTCATACATTGAGATCTTGCTGATTTCTTTTGAAATTATAAACCCTAACAATCCAAATAATTCAAGCAGAGCTGAATATATGAATATTCGCCCCCCCTCCCAACTTACATTCTAGTTTCGCCCCTTGGATATAGCGTCTATTATAGACAGGAAGATAACTTAGAGAGGCGTCTAATAAAAACTCACGTCTCAAGAAAGGCTTTTATTATATACTAGACGTTTATTTGATAGAGAGAGTCGCGATTATTTTATCATTGTGACACATTATTAAAACAACGTGTTAATTTTTACACGAAAATTTGTCTTACCCAAGTAGAATGTCAATACAATATTGACAAAACAAGTGTCCACACGAGGTCTGCATTGGATTGATTAGAAGTTGATGACAGTAAGTACATATAAACTTTTTGTTGATTTTTTCCCGGTCTTCATCACGGATCTTTGTTCCAGGCATATTGAATGACGTCGATTCTTTCCAACAGAATAAAAAAAATCAATACGAATAATTCCTTGAATAAAGAATAAGTTGTTGTTCTTTATAAAAATATAACAAATTTGTGACCACATGCATGTCCTAATTCTGTTTCAGGGATAGGGAGAAGGAACTATCTTGCTCGGTACCGCTGTATATCCTACACACAGAAAGCAACAGAGGGCGTTACAAGAAAGGCTTGCACAAGCAACTTTCTTGAGGCATTAAGGCCCGTTTATAGACTACTGTGCAAAGTACTTTCCAATGGAATTAAATATTCTTTTAAGTGCAACATCGTATTAAAATTATGAATGCATTTCATTCAAAAAAAATGAAAATACGTAGCTACAAGACTTTTTAGCTAATACTGCTTTTGAATTTGTCCTAACGAATTCAATACCAAACTCATACATGCATTTCTACAGTTATGCATCATAACAAATACGATAGTCTGTATGTTCATGGAAAGGCAACATGATAAGATAAACGCAAGCCAGTCTCACCGGTAAAAATCGTATTAGGAAATGCAGAAATAAGAAAGCTTTTTCACTCACTCTGTAGTCTACACGTATATTTATAAATAATTATTGCAGCTATACAAAGGTTGTTATTTCTGCATGTAATCCACCGTATATTTTCCCTCTTAATCTGCCATATCGTAGCTAAATTTAATTTCTAAAGCATCTTTTGTCGTGATTACACCTGCAATAAACATATGTACATCTTTAGAATTTCTGCTTTCGACGCTCAAAAATATTTTTGTCTGAATGCAAGTCTTGTCTATTTATACTTACATCCCAAAGCTAGCAATCCGACAACACGAAGTCACGAAAGCCGTATCCAAATACGGTAAAGTGAAGAGAAAATTAAAATGGAACCGAAAGTACATATTAATCATTATTACCAATTTTGCGAAATTGAATACAAGCAAATATTGAGTATGATAATTAATATGCCCTTCTAAAAGGTCGCCGAGAGTCACAACAAAGTTGAGAACTCGACGCATGGCCAAGTTCATTAAAACCGCAAAATCATGACAATTTCAAAAACCAAAGGAAAAAAGTACTATAAAAATCGGGAAAAACTATGCTAGAACTCACGGCAAAACCACGCTCATCACATGGCGGAAATAAAACACACACAGATTCAGTGTTGCCAATCGTACGGGAAATCCCCTATAGTCGAGAGACTAAGTAGTTTGTAGGTGGTAGGGGAAACCTAGTTCTGAAACCTACGGGGAAAACTGTAAAATGTAGGGATATTGTTAGGGGGAAAAAAATATTTTAAAAATTAGTCCTATTTTTGCCCAAAATATTCTTTTCTTGCTGTGTTCTCACCATTTAAGAAGTGATTAAATGTAACAGAGTCTTTCTCTTGGCACATTTTGTGACCATACATGGCAGTAGAAGATTAGCAATTTAGCATAAACTCAGTGTGTCATTAGCGTCACTTGTATGCCATTAATTCCTACGCCAAATTACTATTTTTTCAATATAAGATGCTTTTAGTTTTCAATATAATCTACTTTTGTATTCATTTTTAAAGACAGATTAAAAGTTGAATGGTCCGACACAATGTAGGTATATAATAGGGAGGTATGTTGTTGTGTAGGGGAAAAGTAGGAGAAAACAAGAAAAATAGTCGTAGGGGGAAGTAGGAGGAAAATAAAGTTTTGGTAGGTGAAATGTGCATACACAGAGTGGCAGCACTGTAGCGGATGTGAAACACATGGCTAAAGAAAAAGCCAGTTTTGTTTATGAAAGTGAAAGAAAAAATACTTATGTACATTTCCTGTAATGTATTTTTTAAATTTGTTAAAATTGCAAAAATTTATAACACATAATTACTTGTAAATGAAATTTAATAATTTCGTTTGTCCCTAACTATATTTACTTCGCAAAGGACCTTGTAAAACATTTGTAGAAATAATTCCTGAGATACCTAGTTGCAAGGGCTTTTCTAACTATGCTTTGTTGCTTTTAGTACAAAACTAAGTATATTGCTATTAAAAAAGCAAAGGAATAATTGATCTCCTTTTAATTTTTTCTTCACACAACTTTTGGTTCTTTCATAAGTACATTGATATATAGATAATTATTAACTGTCTACGATTTTCTATGGAAAACGTGTTGGCACATGCATGATGAACTGGCTGTAAAGCTTGCAGAGATGTAAAGCAATATACTCCCCGTGAGGAGGTGAAAATCAAGTGATATAACTGTTGCACCGTTGCTTGACGGGTAACAAAATTTTATGAAACCGTCGTGTAAACATCTGCACAGCTGAAATATTATATTTTACCTGAAGTATAAATCTATTAAATATAAATTATCGCTTATAACATCACAACAGAATTAATTCAGCCAAACTATTAGTCAATGAGCTTAGCTTCCATTGAATTCCGTGTAATTCTTGGTACTCTATCCAGGGCGGATCTAGGATTTTTCAAACATCAGTCATAAAACGTCGGAGGCGCTCCGCACCTGGGGGGTCTGAGGCATTCTCCCCTGAGAAATTTTGAATTTCAGAGCCTTAAAAATTCCATTTTCAGCGTTTTAGAGCAATACAAAATGTATTTTGTGGGCATCGTTTTTGCGTAAAAACAACACATTTTGGTTACGTTTTTTTCAAAATTAAAATTTGAAGAGAACAATACTTGAATGTTATGCCAAATATTTAGGCTCATTATCATGCTAAATATATGGCTCATCAGCATGTCTAGGAACGTAATATTTATTTTACAATAATGCTATTCAAAAACAGATATAGTCTTTAAAAATTTCTACCAAGATGTCAGGCATAGACCCCGCTAGAGACCCCCATTCGAACCTCTATGTAATGAGTTAAGTTAGAAATTTGGTACTACAAGTGACTGTTCATACATATAGAAAAGCTCAGACTTCAAACCATGCAGGTTTATTGTAACCCTTTACCCATCTCCACATCAGTGCCAGCAAATTCACCTTTTAAGAAAAAACTCAAAATTTTTTTCTGCCAAAGATTAAGCAAAAATGATCAGAGTGAAAATTTGCAGTTAAGGACAGCTTAATGCCATAAATGTTTATTAGGCATTTCACTAGACTATTATCTTCTGTAAGTATATGCAAGGTGTGCCATATAGCAATCACTAGTACCATTGTATTTGCAAATACAAACAGAATGTAACCAACATGTCTTTAATTATATAATTACATGAATGTCAAAATTGGTTCATGTGTCATGCTTACTGGTTATGATAAATATCTTTTCATATGATCAAAGCTCGTTTAAATGTAAATCTGAAATAATTTAGTTTAGAAATTATAATGATCATCAGAAAAATTACCTAGTGATCATGAAAAATACTTTGCTGTTTTGCCAAATTTCAAGGTTTATCTGCATTTATAGGAAGACATTTTTGCTTTATAGAAAATGCTTTTCATACATCAATAGCCCTTTGGAATTTATGGCAAACAATCTGGTATGAGCCGTAGATTAACACACCTTTACATCTCTACATGAGGTGTTCAGTTAGAAAAGAGGACAATATGTGACATGGGACAACATTTCATGTATGTGAAATACTAAGGTTTAATACCATTCCAGTCAAATTGTCGAAATAAAATGCTTCATGGATCAGAAGACTCAAAATCACAGGTTATAGTAAACAGCTTCTCATGTAATCAATGTTTGTTTTCTCAAATCTTAAACAATATGTAGTATAACTGTCCAATGATTTAATGATCAATGATCACAAACTGAAAAGCCCCAAACATTTGTTTATGATAAAGTAAATAATAGTATGGCGCCTTATGGCTACAGATTTTTTCTCCATTGATATATATTTGCAGGAATGTAGGATTTTGCTGCCATATAACGGTCACGAATCCTCAAGCACTAAAGAAATCATAGCTAAAAGTCCTTCGGCAACAACAATTTTAGAAGCATCAATCTGCTTACCATACGCCATATTAACATAAATCGCATCACACACTCGCATAAATTGACTTTGATATATTACATTCATGCATACACTTCAGTTGTCCTTTACTTACGATTTTCGATGTAAATTTCTGCTGATAAAACTCAAAACAATGTTGGCTTTGTTTTGAACATCAATGACTGAATTGTCGCTCGCGAGATCGTCTTTGCCAAGCATTTACAATTCATCCATAAATTTTTCGCCCTCTTGAAAAAATTCCCAATTTGGACAGCAGTATTCATGTCAATATGTGAACTTATAAAAGATTTCCATAAATTCTATTTGATTGTAGTTTAGTTTCTATCATGCTTTAGAAAATTACTATAAAACGATCAAACATTCAATTCAGACAGTTAGCTTGACTATGTTAGTTCAGTTGGCTATCAGTCGAAATAGGTCGAACCAATCACAGTAAGACAAAAATTTAAACAAACCAATTACACGATAGCAATTGGACTCCCTTATCGGTCCGGCCACCCCGCTTATCGGTCGAGATTATTCCAGATCGTCCACTGGTCTGGCTATTGACTAATGGAATGGCTTAAATAGGCGTTCTTGAACTCCGTTATTGGTCGAACCAATTATAGAACTCAATGGTCGAACCAGTCGAGCCACCCCGCTTCAGCTAAGATTTGCTCCTACCTTGAAATTTTTGTTCAACAATAGCTTATGATTATATCATTAATATGCATAAAAAATTAAACACATTATTGTCTCATCCCACCAAATCCATACTTGGTATGATTCCAGGTGATCCACAAATTCACATCGGATGCATTGGTTACAATGAAGTTGAATGTAGAAGAAGCAAAAATAGATGGCAAAGAAATTCTTTGTGTCTTATGAAGAATTAGTAGAAATCAATAAAAAGAATTCTTTAAACAAATTGTAAACAAATTTAAATTTGCTCATGGTCAAGCAACCTAGTCAAAGAAGCAAACTCTCTCTTCAACATGT